TATGTTCGTATATTGTAAAGTCTAACAGCAAAGTTGAGTTGAATTTTTCAAAATCTTCAGAGAGACTTTGATAATAGGTAATAAGTGTCAAAAATACCTTTAATTAAAGTTCTCTAAAATATTTTGAAATTCTAACATTTCAGCTTTGAGTTAAGATTTTTGCAAGAAATTGCAGAAAAATATTCTTTGTCTCACCAAGGACTGACCATTACCATTTTTTACGGATTTGCCCGCTGATTAAAATTTTAAAAGCACCCTGGATACCTGTTAAATTTTAATCAGAGGTTAAACCCTTGGTTTCAAAGTGACCCATCAGAGTCCAAATTGTCATCTGGACCGTAAAATGTATCGTAAAAGCCCCAAAACCCCCTGAAACAGTGTTTGAAGTTTTCCTTTGACAAGAAATAAAAACCAGAGGTGGTAAGAACCGGCCCTAACTGTTGAAGAGAGCATATGTATTAAAATGATATATTTGGTAGCACATGATTGGTAAGTACACCAAATAAATTCTCCTAATGTCATACAAGGTAGTAAGACCAGTAAAAAATATTGAAGATTAAAAAAGCTACAGGAAATACAAATCTAGAATACTCGTCGATCGTCCTTGCAACCATGGCTTGGTTCACTTTAGGGCGGCAATATTGGTCTACTGGCTCCTCTTGGATGATCATCTTTTTCACCTGTAGGTCAAAATTCGTTCGAAAATTATTGCAAGTTGAAATAAGGCCCCCTAACAGGTCAAGCAACCCAAGTAGCACGGTTCAACGAAAAATTTGAAATTATATTGCAGTTTGATTTCAATAAGATTGTATGTAATTTTTTCACCATTAAGTTGCAATATTTTTACATCATTTAGTCGATTCATGCCAATTTTAAACAATCAACAAAATGAGGTCCATGTGTCAGAAATATAGGCAATATGCAATGCAATGAAAAATTGCAACGTGTATTTCAATTTTGTTGCAATAAGTTTCAATAAATGTGCCCCCTTCAAATATGAGATCAGCAACATACACACCACTCACAAATCAGTGGAATTTGCAATATTTTTTCAGTGCAATTGCTACTTATTGCAGTTTGTGCTACTCGGGAAAGTACTGTCAATCAAACAGACACAAGACTCACAAAATGTTTTTAAAACCAAAAACACTTTTTTTTTGTTGTTTTTTTTGTTTTTGTTTTGTTTTGTTTTTTTTTTGGCGTGATGACAGATGACACCACTATGTAAACTAAAGTCGAATTAGACCCATTTCATATATAAAAGAAAAAGAAAGTCAAAAGCCATCAGTAACAGTCCATCTGCAATGAAAACCCTAAAACAAGCATTTGATGTAGATAAGGAGTAAGTTACTCCACGCTCGCTTTTCCACGCGGTACTGATTCAAGCAGAAAAGCTCTCTCGAATATCAGGAGTTACGAAATGAAGCGTCGCGTCGCGTCGGTCTTCTCAAAAAGGCTAGTGAGTGTGGGCCATAAATCACCGAAAGCTCCTTCCATTCATCGTATATGCAATTTGGTCTCCGGGGAGTTAAAATAGTTGCTCGAAGTCAAAACAGACCGGCGCGGCTGGACCATGGCAGCCGGCGATTTTTTTGTTCGTTAGGTTCAATTCATTAATCACTGAATACCTGCCCGAAGTGGACCTAGCACTTTTGATGGTTAGTATACTTCCATGAACAATTCTGATTTTCAAGAAACGGCCTACGTGTACTAGAGTACCTTTATAGACAGAGTATGGCCATTCCTGTTCCGCTTTTCATTGGTCGCAAGCGAATAGGCTGACACGATGCTCTTAGGGCCGTAAATAAACAAACAAGATGGCTGTTATTAGCAAGCAAGATTAGTTATGCACATCTTAGATCCTCCTGTGATAAAGGTGAAAGGCGATTTAACAATGTTTTCGTGTTTGCGAGAGTGTGTGTGTCCCTTTGACGAGCCGCGGGTTGCCGCATCTGATCAATGAGTCGGAGAGAGATAGACGATAAAACGGCGGCTTGTCAAAGCCGAGTGTGCTCCTTTGACGTGCCGCATCTGAGCAATGAGTGCGAGAGAGAGAAAGGACAAAACAGCGCATGGACCAATCCAAGTTGAGCCTTAGTCCCCGTTTACGGCCGTTCTTTCCAGGGCTCATGGTCGGAAAGCACTCCGTTGCTTTTTCGGGGCACCCGGATTCGGGCTCGCCACTACCACCCCAGACCAAATTATGAGGCCCAGCCTGTATATTTTCCAGTGTGTGTGTATGTCCCTTTGACGAGCCGCGGGTTGCCGCATCTGATCAATGAGTGGGAGAAAGATAGACGATGAAACGTCGGCTTGTCAAAGCCGAGTGTGCTCCTATGACGTGCCGCATCTGAGCAATGAGTGCGAGAGAGAGAAAGGACAAAACACCGCATGGACCGATCCAAGTTGAGCCTTAGTCCCCGTTTACGACCGTTCTTTCCAGGGCTCATGGTCGGAAAGCACTCCGGTGTTTTTTCGGGGCAACCGGATTCGGGCTCGCCACTACCACCGCGGACCAAATTACGAGGGCGAACCTGTATGTTTGCGAGTGTGTGTGTGTCCCTTTCAAGATCCGCGGGTTGCCGCATCTGATCAATGAGTGGGAGCGAGATAGACGATAAAACGGCGGCTTGTCAAAGCCGAGTGTGCTCTTTTGACGTGCCGCATCTGAGCAATGAGTGCGAGAGAGAGAAAGGACAAAACAGCGGATGGGTCAGTCCAAGTTGAGCCTTAGTCCCCGTTTACGGCCGTTCTTTCCAGGGCTCATAGTCGGGAGACATTCCGGTGCTTTCTCGGGGCACCCGGATACGGGCTCGCCACTACCACCACGGACCAAATTAGGAGGGCGAACCTGTATGTTTGCGATTGTGTGTGTGTCCCTTTCAAGATCCGCGGGTTGCCGCATCTGATCAATGAGTGGGAGCGAGATAGACGATAAAACGGCGGCTTGTCAAAGCCGAGTGTGCTCCTATGACGTGCCGCATCTGAGCAATGAGTGCGAGAGAGAGAAAGGACAATACAGCGCATGGACCAATTCAAGTTGAGCCTTAGTCCCCGTTTACGACCGTTCTTTCCAGGGCTCACGGTCGGAAAGCACTCCGGTGTTTTTTCGGGGCAACCGGATTCGGGCTCGCCACTACCACCGCGGACCAAATTACGAGGGCGAACCTGTATGTTTGCGATTGTGTGTGTGTCCCTTTGACGAGCCGCGGGTTGCCGCATCTGGTCAATGAGTGGGAGAGAGATAGACGACAAAACGGCGGCTTGTCAAAGCCGAGTGTGCTCCTTTGACGTGCCGCATCTGAGCAATGAGTGCGAGAGAGAGAAAGGACAAAACAGCGTATGGACCAATCCAAGTTGAGCCTTCGTCCCCGTTTACGGCCGTTCTTTCCCGGGCTCATGGTCGGAAAGCACTCCGTTGCTTTTTCGGGGCACCCGTTTCGGGCTCGCCACTACCACCGCGGACCAAATTATGAGGCCCAGCCTGTATATTTTCCAGTGTGTGTGTGTGTCCCTTTCAAGAGCCGCGGGTTGCCGCATATGATCAATGAGTGGGAGCGAGATAGTCGATAAAACGTTGGCTTGTCAAAGCCGAGTGTGCTCCTATGACGTACCGCATCTGAGCAATGAGTGCGAGAAAGAGAAAGGACAAAACAGCGTATAGATCAGTCCAAGTTGAGCCTTAGTCCCCGTTTACGGCTGTTCTTTCCAGGGCTCATGGTCGGGAAACATTCCGGTGCTTTTTCGGGGCACCCGGATACGGGCTCGCCACTACCACCGCGGACCAAATTACGAGGCCCAACCTGTATTTTTGCGAGTGTGTGTGTGTCCCTTTCAAGAGCCGCGGGTTGCCGCATCTGATTAATGAGTGGGAGAGAGATAGTCGATAAAACGGCGGCTTGTCAAAGCCGAGTGTGCTCCCTCGACGTGCCGCATCTGAGCAATGAGTGCGAGAGAGAGAAAGGACAAAACAGCGTATGGACCAATCCAAGTTGAGCCTTAGTCCCCGTTTACGGCCGTTCTTTCCAGGGCTCATGGTCGGAAAGCACTCCGGTGTTTTTTCGGGGCAACCGGATTCGGGCTCGCCACTACCACCGCGGACCAAATTACGAGGGCGAACCTGTATTTTTGCGAGTGTGTGTGTGTCCCTTTCGAGAGCCGCGGGTTGCCGCATCTGATCAATGAGTCGGAGAGAGATAGACGATAAAACGGCGGCTTGTCAAAGCCGAGTGTGCTCCTTTGACGTGCCGCATCTGAGCAATGAGTGCGAGAGAGAGAAAGGACAAAACAGCGTATGGATCAGTCCAAGTTGAGCCTTAGTCCCCGTTTACGGCCGTTCTTTCCAGGGCTCATGGTCGGAAAGCACTCTGGTGTTTTTTCGGGGCACCCGGATTCGGGCTCGCCACTACCACCGCGGACCAAATTACGAGGCCCAACCTGTATTTTTGCGAGTTTGTGTGTGTCCCTTTCGAGAGCCGCGGGTTGCCGCATCTGATCAATGAGTGGGAGAGAGATAGACGATAAAACGGCGGCTTGTCAAAGCCGAGTGTGCTCCTTTGACGTGCCGCATCTGAGCAATGAGTGCGAGAGAGAGAAAGGACAAAACAGCGGATGGGTCAGTCCAAGTTGAGCCTTAGTCCCCGTTTACGGCCGTTCTTTCCAGGGCTCATGGTCGGAAAGCACTCCGGTGTTTTTTCGGGGCACCCGGATTCGCGCTCGCCACTACCACCGAGGACCAAATTACGAGGCCCAATCTGTATTTTTGCGAGTGTGTGTGTGTCTCTTTCGAGAGCCGCGGGTTGCCGCATCTGATCAATGAGTGGGAGAGAGATAGACGATAAAACGACGGCTTGTCAAAGCCGAGTGTGCTCCTTTGACATCCCGCATCTTATCATTGAGTGCGAGAGAGAGAAAGGACAAAACAGCGCATGGACCAATCCAAGTTGAGCCGTAGTCCCCGTTTACGGCCGTTCTTTCCATGGCTCATGATCGGAAAGCACTCCGGTGCTTTTTCGAGGCACCCGGATTCGGGCTCGCCAGTATCACCGCGGACCAAATTACTAGGCCCAGCGTGTATTTTTGTTTTTTTCGTGTGTTGTTCGTAGATTCGCTAGTTTAAATTGTTACTGCCGTATAATTGAAATTTTTTTCAAATTTAGCTTCTTATCGATGTTACGGTAAGTCGCCATCTTGTTTGTTTATATACGGCCCTAAGAGCATCATGAAGCCTATAAACTCGTTGACCAATCAAAAAGCGGAACAGTTTTCCTGTAGTAAAATGATACGAATGGCCATACTCTGTCTATAAAGGTACTCTTACGTGTACTGTTAAAAATCAACGATTTACTCTGAGTGAATAGCCGGCGTAAAAAAAAAATCCAGCGCGAATTTCGCGCCGTACTCTGAGTGAATAGATCAGAGCGTAAATATCACCAACGACAAACGAATTAGTTGAGGTACCTCAAGTAATGTGAATTAAGGGCCTCCTAGTATGAGCGCCGAATGTCTAAGTGGTAGCGCACTCGTCTATCACTGCCGCGACTCGAATTCAAATCCATGCTGCGGCAGTTCCGTTTTACTTTTGCCTGTCAGATATTCACTCCGGCCAGAGCGCGAAATTTGCGCCGGATTCATGCACTCAGCGTAATAACATGTGGTCAAAATAGCAAGTGAGTTAGCGTGAATTTAACGCCGGGATTTTTAACAGTGTGCGTAAAAGCATAACTCAGGTTTGAGAGCGCGACTTTATTTGGTTGAAAAAGACTCACCGTAACCATGTTAACGTTTTCATCGTTGGAGCCTTTCGTGTTCGCTTCTCCGTTGACCGGTTCTGGAATAGCAATGAGTCTCCTCATTGGCTCAGGTTGATATTTCCGCCACATGTAATTGACGAAGGTGAATTCTAGTAGAGCGCAAAATACGAACGCTGAAACAAAAGACCAATGTAATCCACACGTTCCTGGAGTTGGGGTTTTTTCTCTCATTTTTTTCTTCTTTTTCTTCTTTTTTCTTTTCTTTGAATGTAGGGATTCGTGCCCTCGAGAGGAAAGGAAAAGGTGCAAACCATGTCCCTTTGGACGACCCTCACCCCTCAGCCCGACGGTGGGTATGTGGGCATGTGGGACTAGAACTTACCTCTAAGGAGCCTGAAATGCAGCTTGGAAATATTTTTCAGCATGATCCATAATTGGACTGCATTTTGCAATTTGGCACTATTAATTCTGGCTCATCTGAAAAAAAAAAAACACTTACGTGCATAGGGAAACTAATGGCACATACGTTGTCTTTAAACCGGGCCAGAATTTATAGTTCCAAATTGCAGAATGCAGTCCAATTATGCCATGTTCTTACTTTCGTTTCGGTTCAGAATTTAATCAAAGGGAACTAAAAAAAAACCATTGAGAACAACAATTAATTTTCTGACTCGCTGTAGGAACAACGTATGTGCCATCAGTTACCTTAGGCACGTATGTGTTTTTACGGATAAGCCAGAATGGCAGATACGGGTTGTCTCCCAGTTGCAAAATATCGTCCATTTGGGGCTTTAAATTGCCGAGTAGAGTGCACCTTTACACCCATGCAGAGTATGAACCAAATCATTTGTGACTATTCTACAGGACACCAAAGATTCCATTGAAAAATGGACTCTTTTGTAGACATCGGCAAATCGTGCTTTGAAAACTCAGATTGTGATTTGTCGCCTTAACTTGTGGAGATCTTCCCGCAGGTTCTGGTACATCTACCTATCGATATCTCGCATCGACTCAGCAAAATAAATCTACCTAAATTTTTTACTTAACCGATGCAATATATTAAGTACAATCCTTCGATCGATTAAGTAAAATATTGATTTAGTAAGATCGATTAAGTAAAACATTTCGGTAGATTTTTTTGCTTAATCGATGCGATATATCGCACGCTAGTTCGACCACACCAGAACCTAGGACGAATCACCCTCACAAAATTTGCTCTTGTGAAAAATGATTTCGACAAATTTGGTCTGGCCTTGCGTGGACACGACAACCATAGACTGATATTGAGGAAGAAAAGAATGCTTGAAAAAATGAAGATTACACAAAAAAATGCGCAAAATGCAGCGTCAAAATTATTTAAGAATCCAACGAAGTTCACTATACTCACCGGTGCAAGTGCCCATCCAAACGTCTATAGCTTTGACGTAACTCACTTGCGGCAATCCACTTTGAATACCTTTTAACAAAGTCGGAAAAAAGTTAAATAATTTGCGAGTTGACAAAAATACTCATCATGGATAGTCACCCAAGGGGGCTGATTACCGAAATTGATAGACAAAGCCATAAACGAAGAAAATATAGGGAGTATGGAGCGATCTTATCCCTCGTAAAAATTGGCAGTAGAATCTGTGTTCCAAAATATCATAGACCTACGGCCGGCTGTAAGATTTCCAATAGCTTCTATAGCCGGCAACACAATTTCGTATGGCCTTTTATAGCCGATGGCGACCAAGCAACAGCCTGGCGATAAAATGTATGCTAAACGTTGTTAATTACGGATGCTAGGACTTAGTGAGTTTTTCGACTACCGCTCTCTTTTTGGGCCGTAGTATCTTGATTTATTTTGCGAGGAAAGCTCCGTACTTTTGAAGGATGCCTGCCATTCCTAACATGTTGGAGCGCCTGCAATTTCGTATGATACTGTGCAATACCTCTGGTGTGAAATAGTTGCTTCAAGCGCCGTGGCACGCTGCTGCGGCGCGGCAGGCGGGCAGCCAGCGCGAAACGCGCCTACAAACCTAACAGGGATACTTCACGCGTTGCGCAATGCGTGAAGTATCCCTGTTAGGTTTGTAGGCGCCAGTGCGTCGCCGCTCCGCTTTGTGTTAGGCTCTAATATTTAATCTGGCGGAGTCAGCGTTTTTCAACTCATGACTTTGAAATTTTTGCACACTCTGTATGGATTATTCTCATTTTAATTGATGAAAAAAAAATATGTAGTAAAGGAAAATATAATGTGCGTTTTGTAAATATTAAGGTGATTCCGTACAAACTTAAGGATTTACAAAGCACACGAATTTCTACACAATCTCTTATAGCCTTTTATAGCCGATGGCGAAAAAGCAACAGCCAGGCGATAAAGTGTAAAGCCCGGCGATAGGAACTATAGCCCGGCTGGATAACTTTTCATAGCTTCGTGTAGCCTGGCCGTATGATTTTTTCCACTTTCTACAGCCAGCTATATGATTTTCTATCGCCTTCTTCAGTCGGCTATAAGAACTCCTATGGTATTTTGAAAAGCTGCTCCTATCGCCAATTTTTACCAGGGATTGGTTAAGACGGGTGCTTCTTATAGATGAAAAGGGGAAAGGATGGACTAACTGGGGGGGAGGGGGGTCTTTTGTGGGCTGTCGCTAGTTAGTCTATTACTTACCTCCTTTGCTCATCCCAGCCTTTCAACCAATGAGCTCACTTCATTTTGCCTCTTCCTCTTATGTCTGTCGCTTTGTCCATGGATTTCAATAATCAGCCCGCTGGTATGTAAATTACTTATTCAATAGACATAGACAATGAGGTTTGAAACTGAGCCTTCTTTTACAATTTAAGCTTTATTTCTCTTTGAAATTTCCGCAAAAATAATTGCTACACCAAAAAATCCAAAACTTGATTAGGTTTCACCAAAAGACGAATAAATTAAAAACGAGAAACGGCAGCATTGCGAAGAACGGTATATCAACGGCACAACTCCCAAACCACGTATCTCATTTGCAGTGTTCGAAAATCTCCGTTCCTTTTTCAATTCTTTATAGAAGAACAAATCAGCATCATTACTTGAAGTTTTCTCAGAATTTCCCTCGCACAGAGAGGAAAATATCACAAAAGTTTTCCAGTATTGACGTTGAGTAGCTCTTCTTTTAAAAAGTAAAGTACGACACAATAACAGGAGGTCCGTAACACCGCAAACCGAGTTACGTGGTTCGGAGTTTCATCGACAATATATGAGCGTCGTAGGCAATTTGCAAACGGCTTACTAACGTGATGTTTCGATGAATCGCAATACACGCATCGGCATACTTAAGGTAATGACCTTTACAAGCCCGATTTCGACTTGATCTCGCCCCTTCCTTTTGCCGTGATACCTTATGCTTTGTCGCGCAGTTACTTTAGTTACTTGTCCGAGCCAGACCCATTTAATGACATGGATTTCACTGCTAGCTCCAACGAATTTGTCATATGCTATACCATACATTTGCGGCAGAAAAGCGTCTAATCCAATTGATGGCATAATAATCAGGACCATAATCTTATTCTTTTATCTTTAAATTTCATATTTTTCCATTCATCACCAGTGGCTTGTAAATTGCCGGCGATTACTAATTGAACCGCGTTCATCAGAAAGGAACCAAGCCACATCAGCTACTGCCAAATTAATTTGGAAATTTAATTATTTTACATGGAAACGGCTGTGCGGATTTTTTTGCAAACTTCAGTGAATTTTCTTCATAGTACGAGGCAAATTCCTGAAAATTTTCAAAGGAATCCGCACAATCCAATTGTTCGGTTGAGTTAGGCAATAGCTAAATTGGCCTGGTTCCTTTTTGTTAAACGCAGTCCACATGTTCATAGTCTTACGCGCAACGACGCTCAACTACCGCACCTTAACGTGAGGATGCGACTTTCATAAAGGCGCTGCATACAACTATTCGTACTTAATGGATGTGCGGGTTGCATACGCATTCATTTGAAGGCGTTTTAACTTTCCTCGCTCTTGCCAGGCAGCAGTGATCCTGACCCTATTATGTATGCTATGTTTTAATACAGGATGTAAAAATCCCACCACTTTAGAATGCTCGACTTTAGAACGACGAAAGAATGCTCGTGAAAATACCGCATGATGGTTTATCCAAACATGAATTTTCAAATCCGGATATTTTGCAAAGGAATTTGACAAACATTAACCCAAGTTGAGCTCAGGGCAGAGAAGCAACAGAGAGCCGGTAGACGCGGAGCCTGAATTATAGGGTGTCACATTGAGGGGTTTCAAAGAGAAGTTTCCGGGACGTCTTTCCCGTAACAGGAGATTGCACCGCAGACGAAATCTCCCGCGGAAAAACTTCAGCAGTGAACTTGAGTCAAGTCCTCAAGCTTTCCCCGGCGCAGTTTTTCCGGGTAGATTTAGGATGGCTCCCGAACATAGTGTTTGAGACTTCGCCTGATCGCACTTTAATGGCGCGGCTCAATATAAAAGTTCTTGCGCTGTGCTCTGAGTTTCATGAACGGAATCTACCTGTATACCTATCTGCCGAATTTTAGAACTTGTAATTTTCATAATCCTAATCATTAAACACCCGATGCGATGTTTTTCCTTCAAACTTTGAAACACGGCGATTTTGACTCATCTCCTACAAAATGAGTATAGTTTGAATTCGCGTTATGTTCCTCAACCTCTGAAACGATTGGAATTCTCACATGGGTGCATAGCGCTCGTTTGAGGGCCCATAGCTGCCAGATCGTACAGAAAAAGCAGCACTTTCCTCAGTAAAATACCTACATTAATTGCAAAATCTGGCAACTTTGTCTGAAGTCGAATTCCGCGGATTGTATCCCTAATTTGAGAACAATATGGAATTTGTAGTGTATTGTTTCCAAGAGAGCTCCTCAATAACTCCTTCGACCACTATGACCGCGGGGCGCCTGAGAACGGCTGCAGAGGCTCCAATAATGGGCCTGTTGCAAACTTCAGCTAGAGCAAATAGAAGATTTGTACCTAATAGAAATGGCTAAAAAATCACGATAAGCGCATCACACTGGAAAAAAACACATTGGATCATGAGTCCAGACTCTTGAAAACATTGACAAGAAAAAATACTCTTGATTCAACCAGATTTCAGTTTTAATCAAAAGGAAATCCGCTCAAATTAAGAGGCTTGGTTCTTGATTTAAGCAAAAATCTGATTGAATCAAGAGTATTTTTTCTTGTCAATTTGTTTAAGAGTCTGGACTCTAGATCCAATGTGTTTTTTTTCCAGTGCATGAAAGTCGTTAATACACTCCTATCTTCACAATCTGCGCAAGAAATATCGACGGTGCAAGTCGGCAATCACATAACTCGTTTGCGGTGTCTGAAAATCTCCGCCTCGATGTTATTTTTTTAAAGGAGAACTAATTGACATAATTTCTTGAAGTTTTTGCAGAATATTCTTCGCACAATGAAGAAAAATCATGGCAGTTTTAAAGAATTGCCGTTGAATAGTTTTCCGTTTAAAAAATAAAGTATGACAGGAAGTCTGCGATGTCGCAAACCGAGTTATGTGATTGCCGACTTGCACCGTCGATATGCGTTTTATAAAGCTTTCGACTTCAAAAATGAGAACACAAGCAGAACAGAATTAACTATACCGATGTAACCTGGAAAAAATGCGCGTCATTGAGTACTCCTTCATTTCAATGGTTATGCAATTTGAGGTTAAGGGAGAAAAAATATTCTCATATCAACGGCGTAAGTCGGCAATCACATATCTCGTTTGCGGTGTCTGAAAATCTCCGTCTCTGTGTTATTTTTTTAAATGAGAACAAATTGACATCATTCCTTGAAGTTTTTGCAGAATTCTCTTCGCACAGAGAAGACAAATCACGGTAGTTTTAAAGAATTTCTGTTGAGTAGTTTTCCGTTTAAAAAATGAAGTATGATAGGTAGTCTGCGACGTCGCAAACAGAGTTATGTGATTGTCGACTAACACCGTCGATATGTTTATTACAATGATAGGATTTGTCTCTATCTATCAATGTATTCATTAATGCATTATACATTACTGCAAGTATTTGCAGAATTTTCTTCGCATACAGAAGAAAAATCTCGGCAGTTTTAAAGAATTTTCGTTGAGTAATTTTCGTTTAAAAAATAAATTACGACAGAAAGTCTGCGACCGCAACTGAGTTATCTGATTGCCGACTTACGCCGTCAATATGCTTCTTGTTACAAGGATGCAAAATAACGATGGATTTTGTTTAAATTACATGATTCTCTAGCTAAAAAAGTAGAGAATAGAGTGTTGAATCACCTGATGACTGGCTGGATACCGCGAGGAGTGTGGTGACACCTAGAGTGGTTCTGCCCGGCACAGAGTCAACATCCATCCAGAAAGAGACCCACGATATGACTACGATAAGTATGGTCGGCAAGTACGACTGCACAAGATGGAACCCAACCGAGCGGCTAAGATAAAATTCCGCCACCAGACAACTGTAATTTCCTGGAAAAATTGATTCATGGAATTAATAAACAGGTGAGCAAATAGTAGTTAATCCACAAATCCAAGCGTTCTGATATATGTATGTTTCGTGACCAAAATGTCACGTAAAACACGATTTACACGACGACAATTACTGAAAACATTTAATAATTTTTCTAGTCTCACTAAGCTCTTCCAAATTTTTTCCAAATTTTTCTTGTGTGATTTTGTTGTTAGGCGAAATGTTCCTACTGATCTGGGTGTTTCCTTGACAATTTTAAAACCACCTAGTGCGACCAAAGAAAAAACAAAGAAAAAAAATCTTCCAGCAAAGGTACTGACGTTTTTAGTTTACATTGGTTCCAAGGATCTTGAAACCCTCGCTCACAAGAAAAACAATGGTTTATTTGAAACAATCGATATATAATATAAAATACTCGATATAATCGAGATAATCTCTCGTCAAGTAAATCGGATTTTATCCTTAAGTCTGCAAATTGATATATCCTGTATCAATACTTTAACGAGAATTCAACACACGCTTCTGAAGTATACCAACCGATTTGGAAGGATTCTTGGCAATCTGTGGCTTGGATTTCGACGATCTCGAATTGGGGCATTTTCAACCCCCGGCCCATGATAATCGGATTTACTGACTTCCACTCCAACTTCAATTCTTCCGTTGTCTTCGAAACTGCAAGAGGAAGAATAAGAAAATATTAATAAGAAGCTCCCTCAGAGTATTGAATTTTCACCCAACCCCCAACACAAAACAAACCAAAAGCAGATACATGTCATTTCTGGAATAAATAAAACCGACATTGATAGCTGTTGTTATCGATAAAAATAATGATTTATCACACGCACGTAAACCAAGGCACTATAAAATGTTTAATGAGGAACTGTGCTCGAATCAACAAGTGCTTTTTCCTTTCTTTCCCCTTTCCCCTTTTACCTTTCATCTATTCTCCCTCCGTTCACTCTCGATTTTGACCAAAAAGTTGAACAAATACAAGATCCATCAGATAATTTGGAAACATGATAGCGCAATAGAGAATAGAGCTAATGCGAAAGTTGCAATTGAGATTTTTTGTACATGTCAGTCTACAAGCAAAATTTTTAGATTGGCTGGAAGTATACCTATACTACGTCATTCCACATGTCTTGATTCTCAAAAATATCGGGGAAAAATGTATATTACCACTCTCTGTAGACAATTTGTATTTTTCGGAGTAAATTTGGTGACATCCGAATGTTCATGCGGCGTTTTTCAATGACACATCAGAACGGCGGGTTTTTTTTTTTTTTTTTTAAAAAAGTGAATTTTTATTGATAGTGCGTCGCCGAAGTGACAGGCGCGGAACTAAGTGCGGAAAGTGAAAACGCCTTCATTTTCATGCTATGCAACACGGTCATCCATTGAGCACGAATAGTTGCATGAAGGCGCTACTATTAACGGCGCGAGTTGCGCCCGTATCAGCTGAGGTTTTTCAGAGCTTTATCACTCCTCACCTCTTCAAAAAAGACGCAATAACCGTGTAACAAAAAAAATCAGAAAGGAAAGTCGCCGTATAAACTCTCAAACGCTGAAATTTATCCCCTTTACATATGAATTATAAATGGATAATCATGAATATTTCTCTTTGATATTACAACAAGTATTTTCGGATTTTACTATACGTTCAGAATTAAAAAATGATTCAATCGATCGACTTCGAGTTTGTTTTAAAAATTGCCCCATTCATAAATAGACCTTTGAAGCGTCGAATGAAAACATGGGTAGGCACTTACAGCTGGCAACCTCCATCGTGCAGACTTGGCTGTCTAGAGGGAATTTCGATAGGTCCATCATGCAGGAGAATGTCAACTTCAGCCTGGAAAAAAGGAGACATATGTACAATTTTTGTGATAAAATCGCAATTAATTTTGTTCTCCAAAAGACAATTACTATTAATGTCGCACTGAGGAAAAAGTTCAGTTAAATACTAGTGCAGAGTGTGTGCGCCTCATGACCCTATACATACTGCCGTGCAAACGTCTGACTGCTCGAATGGCGTCATTGGCGGATCCAGCAAATTGGCAACATTGCCTTTTCTCTATTTAAAGCTATGAAAATGTATCGATTCTTGGAGGGACCAAGTGCACCGACAAGAGTCGATTATTTAGCATAGGTTTAAATGGCGGAAATCCAGTGTTGCCGTATGGCTGGGTCCACCTCTGAATGGCTTATACTTCCTTAGCACTCGTGTAGCTTAACTGTCCAAACCGGACTTCTCCGTTCATACAACTGCACTTCGGTTCATACAACCTAACTTAAAAAATAGTTCGGCTGCATAAAATTGGGGTATGGTCACTAGAACCGAAATACTTTTTTATAAATCGAATAGTGCGGCGAATACAGAAAATCGCACTCCGGCTTATATAACTGAACTTTCTTCATGTGTTGGTATATGAAAATATAAGGAATAAAATGTGACATTTTTGAGACTGCCGGGGTCAGCGAGTACCGTTCACGTTTTTCTACAATTAATCTACAATACCTTTCCCCGATCGTTGCAAGACAAATGCGACAATTTTGAGACGTCATCACGACAGAGATTTCATATAAACTGAAAAAAAAAACACATTGGATCTAGAGTCCGGACTCTTAAAAACATCGATAAGAAAAAATAATCTTGATTCAATCAGACTTAAGCTTAAATCAAGAACCAAGCCTCTTAATTGGAGCGGATTTCCTTTTGATCCAAGCTTAAATCTGATTGAATCAAGAGTCCTTTTTCTTGTCAATGTTTTCAAGAGTCTGGACTCTAGATCCAATGTGTTTTTTTTCCCAGTGTAAGATAGGGATTCATATTTCTGGCGAGCGGTCCCTCTGGCAAAGTGGCGAAGAAACTTTTTTGCGAGGATCTTTTAATTCACCTCTCCGACATTTAATCCGGCAATTTGCATGAGACAGGGAGAGGGGAGAGAAGGCGAATGAGAAGGGGGAACCCGGTTGCCGATTTAATCAAATTTTCCGCCTTTTTCTGGATTATGCCTGAGAATGTTAACATCGGCACGGCAACGCATGGCCAAGAGGGCAAAACCGACTTTCTTGTTTTGCGAGATCTGTATTTGATTTGTTTTCGAGCAGTACTGCTGCTTTCGCGTAATTTTTTTCCCATCATTTGTTTCATTAAGAGGCACTTAAATGATGATGGTATTCAGATTCATCTCGGAAAAATAGCTGCAGAATTTAATGACCTAGCTGTGCAAAACATAGCATTTCTTTTCCTGGAGAGAAAATTTCAATCTTGATGACCTAGGTATTTCTACAGCTTATTTTCACGGGCAATGGATGCAGGTAGCCAGCGTTGGTTCTATTCGAGAGGCCTATCGGCAAGTGTTCCAGCTCAAACAAATCAAAAACTTAAAATTTACAACAGACAAAGGACAAAAAATACATCTTTAAAACCATGAAAAATGAAAAAATTAGACCAAAAAAATATGTTAGCATTTAATGTTTTAATTGCAAGAAAAATACGTAAACGTATGTTCTTTCCTATTTTTCCAAGTAGGTATTTTGTATCACGAGTTTTTAAAGTGAAATTCTTGCCACCCAATGACACCGATGTCAATTATTTTTTTCTCTCCTTTTTTTTTTCGACCATCAAACCAATGTTAAAGTGGAAGCTTATAATAACAGAAAAGTCAGGAAAAAATTTCAAGATGAGTATAGGAACTGATTTCGAGTTACGGGGGGGGGGGGGGCAAATGAGTCAAACTCCGGCCTTATTTTTCGCTATTTTCTTGTTGAATTGATGAGTCTACGGGGTCGTTAGCGTTGTTTACACATGTTATACACACCGGTTCCTACGTATTGTTACACGCAAAATCTAGTTTTAATGTTGACGAGTCAATATATCGATCGGGTATATCGATTTTTTAAGAATCTTTACGGAAAATCAACGATTTTTTTAGATTGGAATTGTTCATTTTTGATTCATGGATGACTAAATGCACCTAATAAGACTGCAGTACACCGAGACTTACGTATTTTTTCTTGTAAAATCGATTTTTAATGTTAACGAGTCGATACCTCAATCGCTTATACCAAATTTTTGCAATTTTTTTGGAAAACCAATGATATATTGGTATTAAAATTGGTTATTCTCCATCCAAGAAAAACCAAATTTTGGGATGGAACACAATTCCGGTCGGGTGATTTTCTAGTTGAGTCAAGTTTTCGACTGGGGCACATTTCCGGTTCAGTAGAAATTAAGATTTTCGATACCCGGTCAAGTGTTTCAAGTGGATAACAAATCCCATGGATTTGGGTTTCCTGTCGGTCAGATTTCCGTGTGTGAGGAGCGCAGCCCCCGCAATTGCTTTCGCAGGTGCCAGGGGGGCAGCCCCGATGCGGGCCTCTTGGTTGCCAGGGGGGCCAGCCCCGGAGCGGGGCCTCTTGGTTGCCAGGGGGGGCAGCCCCGGGTTTGGGCCTCTTGGTTGCCAGGGGGGCAGCTCCGGGTTAGGGCCTCTCGGTTGCCAGGGGGGCAGCCCCGGTAAGAACCCTCTNTTGCCAAGGGGGTCAGCCCCGGGTTTGGGCCTCTTGGATGCCAGGGGGGGCAGCCCCAGTGCGGGGCGTCTTGGTTGCCAGGGGGGGCAGCCCCGGTAAGAACCCTCTTCGTTGCCAGGGGGGGCAGCCACGGTGCGGGGAATCATGGTTGCCAGGGAGGGCAGCCTCGGACCGGGGCTTCTTGGTTGCCAGGGGGGGCAGCCCCGGGTTTGGGCCTCTTGGTTGCCAGGGGGGCAGCCCCGGTGCGGGGCCTCTCGGTTGCCAGGGGGGCACCCCGGTGCGGGGCTTCTCGGTTGCCAGGGGGGGCAGCCCCGGTCCGGGGCCTCATGGTTGCCAGGGAGGGCAGCCCCGGACCGGCTTCTTGGTTGCCAGGGGGGGGAGCAGCCCCGGTGCGGGCTTCTTTGTTGCCAGGGGGGCAGCCCCGGTCCGGGGCCTCTTGGTTACCAGGGGGGGCAGCCCCGGGTTAGGGCCTCTTGGTTGCCAAGGGGGTCAGCCCCGGGTTTGGGCCTCTTGGATGCCAGGGGGGGCAGCCCCAGTGCGGGGCTTCTTGGTTGCCAGGGGGGGCAGCCCCGGTAAGAAGCCGCTTGGTTGCCAGGGGGGCAGCCCCGGTAAGAAGCCGCTTGGTTGCCAGGGGGGCAGCCCCGGGTTAGGGCAACCTGGTTGTCAGGGGGGGCAGCCCCGGGCTAGGGCCTCTTGGTTGCCAGGGGGGCAGCCCCGGTGCAGGGCTTCTTCGTTGCCAGGGGGGGCAGCCCCGGTCTTGGGCTTCTTGGTTGCCAGGAAGGGCAGCCCCGGGTTAGGGCCTCTTGGTTGCCAGGGGGGCAGCCCCGGGTTTGGGCCTCTTGGTTGCCTGAAGGGGCAGCCCCGGTGCGGGGCCTCTTGGTTGCCAGGGGGGCAGCCCCGGTCCGGGGCGTCTTGGTTGCCAGGGTGGGCAGCCCCGGTCAGAACCCTCTTGGTTGCCAGGGGGGGCAGCCCCGGACCGGGGCTTCTTGGTTGCCAGGGGGGGCAGCCCCGGGTTACGGCCTCTTGGATGCCAGGGGGGGCAGCCCCGGGTTTGGGCCTCTTGGTTGCCAGGGGGGCAGCCCCGGTGCAGGGCCTCTTGGTTGCCAGGGGGGCAGCCCCGGTACAGGGCCTTTTGGTTGCCAGGGGGGGCAGCCCCGGTGTGGGGCCTTTTGGTTGCCAGGGGGGTGCCCTCGTTTCTGGCTCCTGAGAATGCAGGTTACACTGTAATCCGTACCCCGTTGCCTGAAGTCAATGAATCGCCTTCAAATGGCCGAGTATGCAAAATGACTACCTTGACGCACGAATAGTGGTATCAGAATTTTGCAGTATGTTTACGGAATGATTTGAAGGTGCTGTTCTGTATCCACTGTGAGTGGCCTTGATTAATGATGTTGACCAAAAAGTTTACAATTTTGAGTTTTAAATTGAGCCGCATATTCGAAAAATGCTAGGGAATATTATTTTGAAAAAATAACAAGATTGTTTTTTCCCTTACGTTTTATTTCAAAGAAGAAAGTGCAGGCGGCTGGATCAAATTGTGTTTTTTAAGTTCATTGGTTTGGTCACCGTTTTCTGAAGCGAAACTGAAAGAGTCGCCGTTTACAAGATCCTAACTTACTCAAAAGCGGTTGTGAATATGAAAATATTCGCACGGATAAAATAAGTTTTCTTTGATTAACTGTGAATAATTAAAATTAAAAAAAAAAGGTACTTTGTCGACTGGTCCATAGGAAAGTGTAAAACGTGGATGGATGGAGCATCGATGACCAACTAAATCTTATCTGATAAGGAATTTTAAGTGTGAAACCCTTTTTTCAGTTTTTAATGGATCCAAATCCACCAACAAGTTTAAAACACTAATTGCAAAAATGCGTATTTCCTGATGAAGTGTGGATTCTTAGTGCCAAAAACGCGAATCCAGGCATTTTTGCCGTATTTTCAAATAGTTCGAGAAATCATTGAAACTGCTGATGAGTTTGAAAAAACATCTTATTCTTGCTATTCTCAAGAATTATTACCCTTCTACCGACAATAAAGAGGAATGCAGACAGTTTTTTTACTCTCCTGGAAAATCGTTTTTTCCGAGATTCGCACTTCTGCACTCTCACCATCGATAAAGTGCTTTAGTATTGTTTAATTAACATTTGCATAGGCAGTGATTGTGATTGTTCAGTCAGTAATTTTTTTCTCATTAATTTCTTCACAAACATTCTCAGGTATATATGTTGCAGGCAATTAGCAATCGCCGGCAAATTGCAAGCAATTCGTGTTTCATTAACAAATTAAATCGTTTTAAAGTGAAAAAACGAGATTGAAAGTAGGGATGATTATGCTTTGAATTCAATCATACACTAGCCCCTTCTCCCTCGATACATGGTGCCAGCTAGCACACTCGCGAGTTCGTGAAATGTCATCAATAATCTGTGTTAGGTTCGGTTAAGCAACTAAACTAACTCCTTGGCAAAGCGGAGAGTATCGCTGGATTTGATGGCGTGAAGAAAGCTTTAATACATATAATTACAATTTGACGAATTGACAAGTACGGAGCTTGCAAATTGCCGGCGATTGCTGACTCCCTGCGACTTATACACTGAAAAAGATTTCAGAGATATTTATTTTCATCTTTAAGTTTACATGTACTTTTCTATCTTCTAATCAGCATGTGTGTTTCTTTTTTGTTTCTGGTAAATCCCTCGGAATTCTTGGATTCAAAAATCGACGATCTTCCTGGACAACGCAAATCGTCAATTAAAAAATTTTGAGCGTTCAATGGACCACTAGACAAGGTACGAATTTAAGCGATCTGATACATGTTTCTGAACCAGAATTTCAAGTAGAAAACGATTTACACAACGAAAATTACGGAAACCAACTCCTAACGAAGATATCAACGTCTTTATTTCACATTGGTTACGAGGAATTTGAACTGCCCGCTCACAAGAAACTCGAAGCTCTACGTGAGTCAAATCGCGCACTACAACGGTTCCAGCAAGCTTCTCAACCGAGCAATGTTCATTTCCCGCCATGTATTTTTTAAACTATAAGTAATTCGCTATAGCTGAGCCAAAGCGTCAAGATCAAGGTTGCCAGATTTTTACATCGCAGAGACTGTCATGATAACGTTTAGCGCGCGATGTGAATCACGTAGAGCATTGAGTTTTCATGAGCGGGTGGTTTCAATTCACGCATCAAGAATCATTCAATATCTTCGTAAGGAGTTAATTTCGGTAATTTTTGTTGTAGGTATCGTGTTTTACGTAAAATTTTGGTTAAGAAACATGTATCAGAATGCTGAAATTCGTACCTTGTCTAGTGGTCCATTAAACGGGACACTTGATTCACTTAACTGAATCTTTAAATTACGAAAATTTGACTAGACTGAAAATTTGATTCGATCGGAAATCTGACCGACCGGAAACCACAATCAACGGGATTCGTTATTCACCCGAAATTTCACTTGACCGGAAATCGAAAATCTTAATTTCTACTGGACCGGGAATGTGCCCTTGTCGAAAACTTGACTTAACTAGAAAATCACCCGACCGGAATTGTGTTCCAACCCAAAATTTGGTTTTTCTCGGTTGGAGAATAACCAATTTCAATACCAGTATGTCATTGATTTTCCTATAAAATCGCAAAAACTCGATATAAGCAATCGTTTATATCGATTCATAAATCGACTCGTTAACGTTAAAAATCGATTCTTCAAGAAAAAATACTTAGGTCTCGGTGTACTGCAGTCTTATTAGGTGCATTTAGTCATCCTTAAATCAAAAATGAACAATTCCAATCCAAAAAAATCGTCGATTTTCCGTAAAGAATCTTAAAAAATCGATATAACCGATCGATATATTGACTCGTCAACATTAAAACTAGATTTTGCGTGTAAAAATACGTAGGAACCGGTGTGTATAACATGTGTAAACAACGCTAACGACCCCGTAGACACATCAATTCAACAAGAAAATAGCGAAAAATAAGGCCGGAGTTTGACTCATTTGTCCCCCCTACCTCGAAAACGGTTCCTATACTCATCTTGAAATTTTTTCCTGAGTTTTCTGTTATTATAAGCTTCCACTTAAACCTTGGTTCGATGGTCGAATCGAATACCGAAAAAGGGGCGAAATTTTGGGAGGCTCTTTATAAAAATTAACTACATTTTTTGCGCAAGTAATTTTATGAGCTGTGCTATTCAGGAGGGTTGACCATCATAACATAATTCTGCGATACACGCCACGAACCCATTCCAGTGGTAGAAGTACCGTCTCATGGATCTCGGTTTGAGACGTTGCAAATTTCCTGTCACATTTTATTTTTCTGAAGAAAATCTAAGCACTGTTAATGCACAAAGTGTTGCTTGATCCTTTTTTCACTCTTCCAACAACATTCTCTGAAAAGTTCTTTCTTAAAAGTAGAACAGTATCCTCTTGAAAATATAAAATATAAGCGGAAATTTTTAAAAATCGCCATCAAAATCCGAAACATGATGGCTTGATAGTTTTACCATACATTTTATATCCACCCGAAAAATACATAAAGTTTTCTGTGACTTTTGCACTCCTCTTTCAAAAATATAGAAGTTACAGTAATTTTCATATCGACGGTGAAACTACCAGACCACGTATCTCGTTTGCAGTGTTTTAAAACCTCTGCTCCTTTTTTATTTTTTTGAGGGAGAAAAATTCAAAATCACTTCTTGAAATTTCCTCGGAGTTTCCTAAGTATAGAGAGGAAAAAACACGGAAGTTTTCAAGAATGGATGTTGATTATTTCTTTGTTTAAATATAAAGTATGACAGGAAGTCTGCATTATCGAAAATCGGGATACGTGGTTTGAGCGTTTCAACATCGAAATGTATTGCGATTCATTACTTACCTCAACATGTACAAGATTTCCCCGTCGGGATTTATCCGGACAAGAACGTTGGGAACGGTGACGAACTGGAACTCGGCATGTTTAGCATTCGGAAAGTAGACCTCGGGTTTCCAGATGGCTTTCACTAAGTTCGGATCGTTCAGGTCCAGAGACTCGGTAATGGCTGAGTGTTTGAGACGCTCGTCTTGCCACTTTTGTCGTAGGTACAGATCCACCTCGTAGTCCTGCAACAATCAACGATAGGATTTGTTCAGTGGCGTGACGTGCTTAAAATCAAGACAAAACAGTAAAAACCTCCCGAATAGGAAACCCAAAACTAATAGAAAACACAACATGAGCAGAACAAGAGAAAACATAGGGGACCAGTCCCAAAACATTGATAAGCAAAATAAAGAAAGAAAAAGAGATAAATAAAATTACCCTAAGTTTTATAGTATTATAAAAATAAAAATTGATTCATTGCGATTTATCGATCGATCTACCATTCGAAAAACAGATTGTTCGCGACGAACACCATTATAATCGATTCATTACCATAGTTTCAAATGGGGAAATATTGTTACTCGATCACTCACGCTAGTTTTCACCATTGAGAAAAAAAGGAGGTGTTTGCATTTCGGGCATCTTAGAATTTTTTTGATGACGTAGGTCGGTACGGCGACTGTTATCATCGATTTTCTCGGAAATTGTGTAGTTTATAGAAAAAATTCATTCTACATAAAGTGTTTGAAATTACATCATAAGTTGCTGTAAGCAAAAAAATCGGACATTATGGTCCGTTTTTCATACTTCGAATTCCGGATTTGGCTGACCAGATTGTACCGACCTACGTCACAGGGTACACAATCCTCAAGATGCAAACACCTCCTTTTTTTCTTTATGAGTTTTCACTGCATTTTTCATGTATTTAAACGCATAATACTTCCAAGAAATTAGCACTGGGAAAAAACCACATTGGATCTAGAGTCCAGACTCTTGAAAACATTGAAAAGAAAATGGACTCTTGATTCAATCAGATTTAAGCATAAATCAAATGGAAATCCGCTAAAATGAAGAGGCTTGGCTTGGTCCTTGATTTAAGCTTAAATCTGATTGAATCAAGAATATTTTTTCTTGTCGATCAAGAGTCTGGACTCTAGATCCAATGTGTTTTTTTTTCCAGTTAGGTACTAAACATTTCTTGATTTAAAAACTTACTTTGGACCTTGAGATAAATGCCAAAAATGAAAAGGCATGTATCTTACTCTACACACGATATAATGATGAGAGTATAACGCGTAACGCATGTGGCTTGAAGCGGCCAGGAGGAGTTGTCCCCTAGACATACACTTTAAATTATCAACGCTTATGAACCTTGGTATGCTGTATTACTGTGTCCGTATTATTTTAAAAGTATAAAAATGAACCAGATAACGAGAACGCCTTCAATTCTCAAGTATGCAACAAGTTACGCACAAACAGTTGTATGTTTGTTATTGAGGATTTAGCGTCGTATTTTTCGTCCGTATTAAAAGACTAGGGGTTCGCCCCCTACCGCTTCGCAATCCAACTCTCCGAAGCGCTTCGCGTCCCAGTAGTTGTAAGTTACGCGTAAATCTTACGTTCTTATATTATAGAGTAAGATCAGTGGCATGGCGTGAATTGCGATACATCGATTGTTATGCCATTTAAACCTATGATAAATAATCGATTATTAAGGTGTTTGCCGCGAACACCCTGTTTATCGATCCTTTTCCATAGGTTTAAATGGCATCACAATCGATATATCGCAATTCACGCCACGCCGCTGAGTAAGATAATTAGGGTATTGCAGAAAATACACGAGAGGGTACCGGTCAATCGTACTACCGAAGATATAATCTGGTCGTAGAGGAAGAAAACAAGTATTGTATTAGAAGTCGAGAAAATTCCGTGAAATCTTCCCGATGAAAACGAAGTTATCTGAGCGCTTTTAGCATTGGCCTCATTTCTTTCCATTGTAAACGGCATCGAGGATTTCTACCACCGGTATTAAAAAATACCTCTCTCTTTCAACTTTTAAAGGCCCTCGCGGCCCGCAGGTGCACACGTGGGGAAGCGAGGGAGGCCGACATTTTGAGGGAAAAACGCTTTTAACGAAGAGTCTAATCTTATCCATCCCTATTAGGCGTGAGAATTTAATACAAATTAAACCTATTTGCTCACACCCAGTGGCGAGGCATGAATGATCGATATCTCCCATTTGAAAGCACGGTAAAGAATCGATTATTAAGGTGTTTGTTGCGAACATCCTGTTAATCGATTCTTTTTCGTGGGATAAAATGGTTGATTAATCGATATATCGCAAAGCACGCCACGCATTTGCTCAAATCGGGGCTGCCTTTGAAAATTCGGGCCTTCTCTTCCATTCTCTGCTCCATCTACGTTTCAGCTGAGGAACATAGCAAGGTAACCAATTCATATTGAGAAGAAGTCAGGAGTAAAAGAAGAGAGAGAAGAAGAAAAACAGCGGAAGTTCTAGTTTTATAACTTTGCAGAGTGCTGGAGGTTAGATTAGGTTCGGAAAACGAAATTACTGACGACTGAGCTTGTTCTAACAATCGTAAGAAGTGATGAATTTATGTGATTTTTTTTAAACCTAAAGATCCATTTCGCCTGACTGCCATCACAAATCAAACAAAGTTAACATCATCATTTTCGGGCATTATTGCTACAGAATGACAACAAAGGCAACAATGACAGCAAGAGAAACTCCCTCCAGGGCTTGTTATTTTTGCGACGATGCACATTTAAAAGTTTTGATTGATGAAAACATAAAATCTCAAGCGGTATCGTTCGAACTTCGTGATTAATGAAAACGTTGAACCTCTACACCCAGCCCTCCCCCTTTCCGCAGGTAACCTTGCCCCTGCTACGTTGCGGGGGGGGGGGGGGGGGGGGTAATTAAATCCCCATCTTTATACCCTCGCTCATATAAAACGTTGTCACGTACGATGAAAAAGCAACGCCAAAGGTCATCGCACTATCTCATCTCATTTGACCACGTGCAATTTCGACGTAATCATTGTGGCAACATTTTCAAGCGGCAATGCAAAACCTGGGTATAATAAAAATAACAAAATAAACTTCCCTCCACTGAGAATTTAAATGACGCTCGCTTTTACATTGTGTTAGAATATTAGTGTTTTTTTCGATCTACCTATAGAAAGAGAACGGATTACGGGAAGGACGATCAGTTAAAGTTCTGTTCATACTAGAGTACCTATATAGCGAGAGTATGGACAGATCGCTTCATGGAGGGCTTAGGGCCCAAAAGTGCAGCCACCCTTCTAACCAACTTCTAACGCACAAAATTTCACTGCCAGTCTGCACATTCCAATTCTAACCAAGATGGCTAAGAATGTACATAAATGAGCGTTCTTCCGCAAAAATGAATAAATTTATGCAAAAAGTAAGTCAAATACGTGCTTTATAGACGATGGTTCGTAACAATTGTATTAGTAAAGCGCTCTGGATAATTGAGATTCATAGGTTGGCTGCATTTCTGGGCCCTAACTTCATTCGCGAAGACATCGGTGAAGGCCTGATGGATTTTCGGAGTTTCACATCTGTCTATACTCTCGCTATACAGGTACTCTAGTTCATACGCGGTGCAACTTTTCACGTGACATAGCATCATCGTTAAATAATCGATGGCCTTGGAGGACAAGGCACACATGTGTAGTTTTTCAAACAATCGAGAGATTAAATGATTTCAACTACAACTAGTCTTGAAAAATATTCTGAGAAAAATTAACCACTGATATCCGACGATTATGCATCAAAAAGTGAGTTTGAACATTCTTTTCGCCATAAGACTCCTGCAATATTGAAACTTTAAACACACATTTCTTGAAATATAAAAAAAAAACTGCACTTTTGCACCTTGTCCTCCAAGCCCTTCAATTGATAGTGAGATGGATACACGCGAACAAAAATTGCGCAAAAACGTGGGAACTTGAACATGCCGTCTCATGTGAGTTTTCATTTAATTTTTTGTTCAAATGCTGTGTAACTCTCCGTTCAGATAACTACGGAAATGACAAGTGCAAACTTTGCTACAGCTAGGAGGGCAGTTCTCTCTGCCTTTAAATCGCGTAAAATCTACGTTCTTTATACCACCCACTTTGGAGGAAATTGTGGCTACTCTAGTTTTTTGCTTCAAAAAGTAAGTATACGGCCACAAAAATCTAATTGGCCACAGCAGATAAGTCACCACTCCCACCATTCGATATAACTTCACGTAAAATATAAAATGACCGCGGGCTACCATCTCACCACACAGGATTGTTTTATTTGACGATAAGTACAGACAGTGTAATTTTTGAGTCTTTGGAAGCTTGAGACTTTTCAAACAGACGTAAAAAAAATTGACGCCTGTAATTTTTTTTTGAAAGGGAACGTATAACAGGAGGGAAATTTGAAGGAGGGCTGCCAAAACAGAAGCTTGTTTGGGTCTTTTCTGGGAGGAGACAGAGAGGTCGCACTGTGTAAAGATGGCGATGTGAAGTTAAACAAAACTAAGGGAATGTCAACCCCCCCGCGAGGCTTTCGAGGGACAGGGTTATGTGGCGGTTGGGTGTCGCAGAGCGGCAGAGACGGCTTAAGAAAAATTGCAGATCCAAACGGGGAGAGAGGAGTTGCAGTGGCTCTTAAGCACCCTGATATGCATCGGTCCTAAACCCGATTCACCGATATTGGGATTCTATCACCATCAAAGGGCTTGATTTTATGTGTGGGAATCCAGACAGCGTTACCATTGACTCCAGAATCCCACCTTTCACCGATGCATTATATCGGGAAAATGAGTTCAACGGAAGGGCTGAGATTCGCTGCGCTCCAGCGGATGGGGTAAAGGCGGAATATAACAGTAAATGGGCAAAGAAGTGCTATCGTAATAGCATTACCGAATTACTGGATATTGACCATCTGGAGTTGCCATGTGGTGCGAGGTGGACTCTCTGTGGACGGTGCTATCGGGGATCAGGGCTATCTCGGGCTCATCTATCGACGTCGCAGCTGAAACCCGCGATGCCGCGGCAAAGAACGCCCGAGCGGGCTAATGCAATGCTTTAGGTGAGCGTTAATACGCCTTAATTAGTTTCATTGCCAAGCCATGTTGCCCGCTCGATTGCTCACCGCCGTGATTCCAGCAAAAAGTTCACTTCATTTTTTTTTTTTTTTTTTTTTTTTAATAATAAAATGC